TGTAAAATTACCATATGTGAATGTAGTGGCCATTTAAAGAACATATAACAGACTTGGCAATGTAATCAAATAAGAGACTACGATGTTTTATTACAGAACTTGAATGGCATGCAGAGGAGGGGGACCAGAAGGCTCCAGTTCTAATTCTGCCCTGCTTTTACTAGCTATCTGACTGTGGCTAAGTCCTTTACCAGGAAGCAATGGTGATAATACCTATACTGCGTACTTCACAACTATTATGAACATCAAATTAGATAGCATATAGAAAGGCAGGGTGTGGTGGCTCACGTCTGTAATCCTAGCACTTTGTGAGGCTGAGGCAGGAGGATCACTTGAGGTCAGGAGTTCGAGACCAGCCTGGCCAACATGGTGAAACCCTGTCTCTACTAAAAATACAAAAATTAGTCAGGACTGGTGGTGGGCACCTATAATCCCAGCAACACAGGAGCCTGAGGCAGGAGAATCGCTTGATCCCAGGAGGCAGAGGTTGCAGTGCCACTGCATGTCAGTGCTAACATAGGGCTCCCACTGTGAGGAAAGTAATCAAAAGAACCCCACAGTGGTACCCCACTCAAGCTCTCTGGAAGGAGCCCTCTGGGCATTGAGGAAAGGCTGTGGCCCCTCTCATACATCATCCCCTGCTCCCGATGGACACTCTGTGTCCAGAATGTTCTCCAGGAGAAGGGGTCAGTAAGCTCATGCTCATGTAGCAGGCTTTGCTCTCTCAACGAATCCCCCTCTGCTTGAGGGTCTCTCACGTGTGCCAACTGATGAGATTTATTTTGAAAACATAAAGGCTTTTTTTAAAAGCCTTGTTGAAAGTTTGGCAATTCATTAACATCTCCACCAGAGGGTGAGCAGGAGAAAGGAAAGCTGGGAACACCAGTCTACCTTGCATTTCTTAGTACTTCTAGTACTAGCTGGCTTTGGTGGGAAAAGAGCAGACTCTTCTCAATGCCTCCAGAATCAGAATACATCATAAGAGAACAGAGAAGTTCCAAATCTCCAATGCCACGTGGCCTATTCTCTTTTAATGCAACAGGAGTGGGTCATCTGTTTTTCTACTCAGCTCATCCCTTTCTGCAAAATATATTATACTTCGAATGTGTTCAGTTAATTGTTACCCAGGAGTGATTTTAGCGCCATGGGGAGAAAAGGGGCCCTAAAAATGTTAATTATCTGGAGCATAGAGCTTAACATTCTGGATTCCAAGATGGTATTTAAGCCTATTTAGATTTTCTCTAAATTCTTTGAGGCTAATGCAACTTCTGAATGAGTCTAATAATCTCTAATTATTTGTGGAAATGGTAGATGTGAGGAGACCAGATTAAATCCACAGATAATCACAAAATCTCATTTTAGCCAGCAGCACAGCTCCTTTCCCACCAAACCCAGCTAACAGTAGAAGTACTAACTACTAAGAAATGCAAGGTGGACTGGAGCTCCCACCTTTCCTTTCTCCTGCCCATCCTCTGGAGGAGATGTTAATGAATTGCCAAATTTACAACGACAACAACAAAAAAATCCAGCTAAAAGGAAAGTGGAAGCTCAGGGCCACTACCCAGCCAGAAAAGGAGACGCTGAGGAACTAGAAGGCAGGAGTCCTATCATAAAGGAGCAAAGCATGTGCCCACACCTGAGCAGCTGGGCTACCGTTTCCAGAGGCGCAGTGCTGTCCCAACTTTCCGTACTGTCCCACTGACATCACCGTGCTCTGCCCAGTTTAACCAGCTTCATTCTTGGAAGGTGGTGCCACAGAACTGTAACCTGGGGCCTACTCTCCTGTCTCAAAGCACCAGATAAGGATCAGGCCAGGGATGGTCCAAGTGCTGTCCCCAGTTGACTAAGGATGAGGAAAGAAAGAGGAAGACAAAGACTTTGTCTGGGGGATGACTGTAAATCCCACAAGCCTTGGCTTTAGCGTTGCCCACAAAGATGTGATTTGATCTTTCGTACGTGTACGTGTATTTGTTCCCCCTCCTCCTTTTCCTGGGCCATTTTCATTTGGGTTGGATGCCTCTGGAGTGGAACTTTTGGCTAGTTTTGGTTTAAATGAGTTAAGAATTAAATTCGGGCCAGGCATAGTAGCTCTCGTCTATAGTCCCAGCACTTTGGGAGGTCAATGCAGGCAGATGGTGTGAGCCCAGAAGTTCAAGGCCAGCCTGGGCAACATGGCAAAAACACACCTCTACTAAAAATACAAAAGTTAGCTCGGTGTGGTGGTGCGCGCTTGTAATCCCAGGTACTCTGCAGGCTGAGGCGGGAGAGTCACTTGAGCTAAGGTGGTCGAGGCTGGGGTGAGCTGAGATCACCAGCTTGGGTGACAAAGTGAGAACCTATCTCAGAGAGAGAGGAAGAGAAATAGAGACGATTTGGTGAAGGAAAGAGAACCAGGTCACCATAACTTCTTGGAGTGGAATGACAGAAAAGTGTAGAGGTCTGTACTAAAAGATAAAAGAGCTGACGTGGAAAAAATAGAAAAAGGAAAAGGAAAGGTGGCGATCCAACTCTACAAAAACAAAACCAAAAACCTGTCTCCTGAATTTAAACTTTGACCACAGAGCTCAGAATCATAATTACTTTATGTTCTAAATGATGTCCTTCAGAATCCCACCATGTCAGGTCTCACTAGCTGCAAAATGGGGGTGACAAAGGGTCGCCAGCTGCAGGGAAGGTGGGTTCGGAGGCTGGGGGGTGGAGGGGAGCACAAGGAGAAGCTCGCCACCTTTCTTCCCAGGGCGGAATTCCCCAGGGTCCGAGTGACTTTCCGGCCGGTTCTGCTCTCCTGAGCGTCCCTTGCGGCCACTTCCAGGACTCGGTCCCCGAGTGACCGGGGGCGGCAGAGCCCGAGTGCCGAGGCGGCCGATCGTGGGCCTGTTCCCGGAGGTCGGGGGTCGTCTCCCGCGGACCTCTCCGACCCCGGCCAATTCCTGAGCCCTCCCCGCGCCGGGTACCCCCGCGGCCTCCCCCGCTGCCTGCGCATTCCTGGCTCCCGCGCTCCGGGTCCCTTTCCGCAGGCCCTGCGCGCCACGGCTCCTCTCTCCTGCCCCCCTGTGGCCGTCGGGGGGAAGATGCGCGGACGCTCAGGGACCCTGGCCGCCCGGGCCGCCGCTGCCGCGCCCTCGATGCTGGGCACCTGGGTGGTGTGCGGGGGCACCGCACTTATCCAGAGAGGAAAGGCTACGCTCGAGGAGGATGGTGCTGATTCTGCGGGACCGAGACTCTGTGGGATCTTCGAGAAGGTTCCGGCAGCTCCTCACCGTTCCCCCTTCCCCCCATCTAAGCCTGATGACCCAGAAGTGAGGACAAGAGGGAAACCTTCTCTCCCCAGCGCCGCGGGGCTGGCCGCTTGGAGAAGGAGAACGTGGCTCTGCACGGACGCAGCGCAGGGCATCTGCAGTGAGGAGGTGGGAGATGGGGGCGGGGACAACTTGGGGTTTAAGGCACCACGAGCAACTAACGTAGCCCCAGCTTTGCAGATCCGGGCTTGGGTGTTTATTTCATTTTAAGTTCCCCGTTTCACTGCCTGTACTAGCCTAGAGGGAGTTACAAATGACTTCCACATCCTGGTGATACGTGGGTTCGTGGCCTTTCCTTTAGCCAACCCAACAGCGAGGTTTCAGCTGCCAGAAAACGTGTTTCCCATCCAACATTTCTCACACAAGGGCAAAATATAACATGTCTAAAAATGGCGGGCTTCCTGTCTGGGGTCCCCTCTTCCACCCTGGTTCCCCACTTAGGAATACGACTTGAGGAACAAAGATTAGTTTGAAATCTATTTCTCCTTGGACATCCCAGATTTCTGCTGGTTCAGTGTCCCGTGTCAGGTGAAATTATTCATGCAGCTCTGAACAGAGTTGATAAGTCTTACTCCTTCTCCCTAGGAATTCCGACTGGATTTAAATCACTCCCTGGTTGCTGCAGAAGGTCTGTGTTTTATGGAGTTCTCTAGTGAACTTTGAAGTATTTGCTTACCAAAGCCGCTTCTCAGCTTCCAGCTCCTGAATAAATTACCTGCCCCTTCTCTCTGCTGCCACTCCCCTGCCCTCCTCAAATATGAACAGTGGGGATGTTTTCTGAACAACAGCTTGGAATGAGGGCTCTGGAACTTATCAGTCAATTGCCAGCCCTGGGACACCCATTTGCAGCCGTGGCTGACTGGAGGTTTCTAGTGGCTAATGGAATAGACAGGGAACAGGAGCCTGTGGACTTTATTCCGTTCACAGATTTATCCCTCACTCACAGAATCACCATTTACTATCTTAATGTGTGTCGCCATTTACTATCTCAAGCCTGGTTGCTTTGTCAAGGAAATGGTCATTAGAATCCTCATTTAGAGAACACATTAAAATCCTCGTGTTAAAAACATCTTGAAGCTTTTCTGAGGATTGCCACTTGTCAGAGGTTAGTGCTAATTGATATCAGGCAGGTCTGCAAAGGCTGAAGACTGTAGACTTCTATTTATTTTGTCCTTTGCGTAAGGGCTAGGGAGGGTAAAGGGAATATGGGCAGCTAAGACCCTTGGGTGAGCCAAGAGGCATTTTGCATTATGTCCCAGCAGCTTAGAAAGTAGTTTTGTCCAGCATCCTCTATGAACAGGATGGGGTATGGCTAATTGTCCATTTTGATGTCTGCCAGGAAGATGCTTTCGTTTCTGTCCCAAATGCTTAAAATGTCACTAAAATCACCATTTCCTTCCTTCATGCAATGTGTTAGAGAGATCATTAAAGATTCCCCACGCGGCTCCAGAGCAGCCACTTCTGGGGTTGTGATTTATCACATTTCCATAATTCACTTCATTAGGGGCCTCTGCGGCTTGAGGATGCCTTGACTCTCTCACTGGGCCTTCCCGGACATGAACAAGGATCCCATTACCCTTTTCTTACTTTGAGTTTTACTAAACCAACAACATCATCAACAACAGAAAGTAAAACAAACAAAAAATTAAAATATACAAAAGCAAAGACATCTGGCATATTTATAAAGCACAGATTTCTTACCCTAAAATAAGTGAAGCCTGTCCCAGACTTGGCTGATCCTGCCTCTGGCTGGGCTCACGGCTTCAGCCTCCTGTCCCCTGATCACTGCTGCTTCATCGGAGGAAGCTGCTCCCTGGTTTTCTTCTTCAGGGGGCTTAGAGCATGGCTGGATGCCCACTTTTGTATGTGCTCTACCCCATGGCCGCTGAGCCTGAGCAGTGGTCCTCTGGGGGGAGAAAAGCCTTTCCCAGTCAGGTCTCAAGGCTCCTCCCTGGGCCTCTTGGCAGCCCTAGGCGCTCCTTGGGCAGCACAAAGTAAGGTTCAGAGCCCTCACCTGCCACTCTGTACTCTCAGGCAGCCAGCCCAGGCTGTGGGTGCTGGGCCCCATCCTCCCAGAAGCCTGCCTACTTTCTATCGACCCCTCCCCTCCCCACCTCTCCCCCAGCCAGCCAACACCACTGAAAACCACCTGTTTTGTGTTTTGAAATCCTGGAAACACCCCCATCCTCCACCCTCCCAGACCTCCCACTGTGTTCCAGTTTCCTGTTCAAACTCCAGATTTGAGTTCTTGACTCATTTGAAGAACATTAAGAAGTCACAAACCCTGAACTTGCTGCAAATTCAAGTCTTTTCTTCTCTGCTCGGGTTGCCAATGGTCCCCCTCTCAGGGGAAGGGGAGTCTTGTAAAATTCCAAGCCTGGCAGCCCCCAGAGGTGATCTCAGACTAGTCAGATATCAAGTACCTGCAAAGTCACAGTCATCTCTGCAGGGCACCCGGTAACCAATTAGTCCCCTTGAATGTTCTAGGAACAATTTTAAAAGCAAAAACTATGACCCTGTTATGTCATCTACTGTAAAATCACAACCACAGACAAGTTCACACACAAATACTAACACAAAGAAAACTACTGAATTCTCTGATTGGCAGACTGGCAGTTTCTGAATGTTCTGGTGATGCTAATTTGTTCAATAATCTCCTCCCCCTCCTCCCCCTCCCCCTCCTCCTCCTCCTCCTCCTCCTCCTCCTCTTCCTTCTTCTTCATTCTTCTTCTTTTTTTAAATTATACTTTAAGTTCTGGGATACATGTGCAGAATGTGTAGGTTTGTAACATAGGTATACGCGTGCCATGGTGGTTTGCTGCATGCATCAGCCTGCTTGTGTTCTCTCTTATTTCCTTGAGCAGTGGTTTGTAGCTCTCCTTGAAGAAGTTCTTCGCATTCCTTGTAAGTCGTATTCCTACGTGTTTTATCTCTCTGTAGCAATTGTGAATGGAAGTTCCCTCATGATTTGGCTCTCTGTTTGTCTGTTAATGGTGTACAGGAATGCTTGTGATTTTTGTACGTTGATTTTGTATCTTGAGACTTTGCTAAAGTTGCTTAGCAGCTTAAGGAGACCAGGGGCTGAGAATATGGGGTTTTCTAAATACACAATCATGTCATCTGCCAACAGAGACAATTTTACTTCCTCTCTTCCTATTTGAATAATACCCTTTATTTCTTTCACTTGCCTGATTGCCCTGGCCAGAACTTCCAGTACTTTGTTGAATAGGAGTGGTGAGAAAGGGCATCCTTGTCTTGTGCCGCTTTTCAAAGGGAATGCTTCCAGCTTTTGCCCATTCAGTATGTTGTTGGCTGTGGGTTTGTCACATACAGCTCTTACTGTCTTGAGATACATTCCATCAATACCTAGTTTATTGGGAGTTTTTAGCATGTAGAGGTGTAGAATTTTATCAAAGGCCTTTTCTGCATCTATTGAGATAATGGTGGTTTTTGTCATTGGTTCTCTTTATGTGATGGATTATGTTTATTGATTTGCATATGTTGAATCAGCCTTGCATTCCAGGGATGCAGCTGGTTTGATGGTGGTGGATAAGCTTTTTGATGTGCTGCTGGATTCAGTATGCCAGTATTTTATTGAGGATTTTCTTGTTGATGTTCATCAGGGATAGTGGCCTGAAATTTTCTTTTTTTGTTGTGTCTGTCAGGTTTTGGTATCAGGATGATGCCGGCCTCATAAAATGACTTAGGGAGGAGTCCCTCTTTTTCTATCGCTTGGAATAGTTTCAGAAGGAATAGTACCAGCTCCTCTTTTTACCTCTGGTAGAGTTCGACTGTGAATCCATCTGGTCCTGAGCTTTTTTTGGTTGGTAGGCTATTAATTACTGCCTCAATTCCAGAACTTGTTATTGGCCTATTCAGGGATTTGACTTCTTCCTGGTTTAGTCTTGGGAGGGTGTATGTGTTCAGGAATTTATTCATTTCTTCTAGATTTTCTAGTTTATTGTGTAGAGATATTTATAGTATTCTCTGATGGTAGTTTGTATTTCTGTGGGATCAGGGGTGATATCACCTTAATCATTTTTTATTGTGTCTATTTGATTCTTCTCTCTTTTCTTTTTTTTTAGTCTAGATAGTGTTCTATTTTGTTGATCTTTTCAAAAAACCAGCTCCTGACTTCACTTATTTTTTGAAGGATTTTTCATGTCTCTTATCTCCTTCAGTTCTTCTCTTAGTCATTTATTATCTTCTGCTAGCTTTTGTATTTGTTTGCTCTTGCTTCTCTAGTTGTTTTCATTGTGAAGTTAGGGTATCAATTTTAGATCTTTCCTCCTGTGGGCATTTAGTGCTATAAATTTTCCTCTAAACACTGCTTTAGCTGTGTCCCAGAGATTCTGGTACATTGTGTCTTTGTTCTCATTGGTTTCAAAGAACTTACTGATTTCTGCCTTAATTTCGTTATTTACCAAGTAGTCATTCAGGAGGAGGTTGTTCAGTTTCCATGTAGTTGTGCAGTTTTGAGTGAGTTTCTTGATCCTGAGGTCTAATTTGATTGCACTGTGGTCTGAGAGATTGTTTGTTATGATTTCCATTCTTTTGCATTTGCTGAGGAGTGTTTTACTTCCAATTATGTGGTCAATTTTAGAATAAGTGAGATGTGGTGCAGAGAAGAATGTATGTTCCATTGGTATGGGGTGGAGAGTTCTGTAACATGTCTATTAAGTCCACTTGGTACAGAGCTGAGTTTAAGCCCTGAATAACTTTGTTAATTTTCTGTCTCATTGATCTGTTTAATATTGACAGTCAAGTGTTAAAATCTCCCATTATTATTATGTGGGAGTCTAAGTCTCTTTGTAGGTCTCTGAGAACTTGCTTCATGAATCTGAGTGCTCCTGTCTTGGATGCATTTATATTTAGGATAGTTAGCTCTTCTTGTTGCATTGATCCCTGTACCATTATGTAATGCCCTTCTTTGTCTTTTTTGATCTTTGTTGGTTTAAAGTCTGTTTTATCAGAGAC